TTTTTAATAGAATTTCAAATTAAAATCTATAAAAAGAGTTAGAAAGAGGAACTAAAAATTAGAGCTAAGGAAGCTATAGTATAATTTTATTTATAATATAGATCTGTTATATTTTAAGAAATCCATTTTATAGTTCAATTGTGAAATAAATAATCTTAAGTAATACATTAGGGAAGATTTTAAACCAATAAGGATGGATTTATAGATTTATAATTGTATTGATTGAATTAAGATCATCAAAATGTCTTTTATTATGATGTTATAATTGTTTTATAAAAATTAATTTTTATAATAAATTCTACAAACATTAATATTTAAATATATATAAGTAAAATCTAATTAAGAATTGAATTCTATGAGCTAAATAGTATTTTGTAATTTATATATGTATTTAATTTAGATTTTATATATTATATTAATAAATAGGATGATCTTAAAAATTTTTTGATTAAATATTAATATATATTTAATAAAAGATTATAAAGAGAAAGGAATTTATTTTTTTCTTAAGATGATAAGGAATTAAACCTCAAAAATTATGAAAAGCAGATATATTTTTGTATTTTAAATTAATGATTTGATCATTCTTTGAGCCATTTACCAATAAATTATTCTAGTAATTTAAAAGTTAAGAAAGAGGATTCCTTAAACTTTTCGAAGAATCCAATACATTCATACCAATCATCTAATGTTGATGTTTCAGCTCCACAAATGAAAAAGCTTTTAGTACTTTTTTTAAGGAATAAATTTTTGAGATCTCTATGATAGATATAATGAAATGAATTTACTTAAGGTGTTTTTTATATAAGACATCACTTCCTGTTGAATAACTGTAGATATATTTCTTTAATAATTCATCATCATGTTTTAATCTATAAGGGAGAGATGAAACATGGACTAATGAAGCACTTTCTAATCCATAATATTCTAAGAAATTGTATGCTACTTCCCAATTTAAGATTGCATTTTAACCATCTTTATTTGCTTTAGCTAAATCTAATCTGTATTAGACATAATCTTTAATTGAATTGTTTTTTCCATTAAATTAAAAGACTCTAAATGATGGATTTTAGTATGAAAATGTAGTACCAGAAGGTGCAATAAACAAAGTCTTAACATATCTTCCATCAATTTTAGATCTAATATGTTAGACATGATCTTAATGAGTATGTCCTTAATTTATAATTAATATTAATAATACCATAAAAGATTCCAGTAACTACATGTTCAAATCTCTCTATTACAACACTAAATCTATCAGCCCATTAAGAATTACAAAATGTATCACCAGGTGGAATATGAGCAAAGATAACAGCAAATTAATGTTTAGCTTCTGAATCTTTGAGTTCAGATATTAACCATTTAAGCATTCCTCTTGGATCTGTGATACCATCCATTAAATAAAAGTTGAGTAAATCACATGCTTGAGAATTCAAGGCTATGAATTTAAGATTTCTTGCTTCATCAACTTAAGAATAATAACCATTTCTTCTTAATTAATAATATGATTCTTATGTTAAATATTATTTCCACATATCAGCCACTTCATCTCTTAACCATTATGTGGATTCACCTATCATATCATATTGATCAGCTGGATAACCTTCATGATTTCCATATATTGCATATAATTAAGAATTTGGTATTTATTTTTTAATTTCATCTGTAATCATTTTTGTAGGTAATGTTTGATTCCACTTTTATTAATGCCATACATCATGTGATGTACTATCTCCAGTCCATATAATAAAATCTGGCTTAATTTTCTCACCTGTAAATTTGATCAGATCTTATATTGTTCTAAATGGTAAATCACATTCTGCATAGGTTCCCCAATATTAAGCACCTTTACTTGGATCTTTAGGTTTTCCATTCTCTTCTCTACAACAAAATGGAGCTCCACAAAAAGCATTAGCTCCAACTGAATATTCTACATCAATATGTAAATCAGCAAATTATGCAATTGTATAATCTTCTTAATTTTTTATATTTCCTTCAGCCATCACTTACCATTACTTTTGTTCTTCTTTTGAGAGCTTGTCTTACATAACTTCATTAATGTAATCCTTAATTGTTTATGGTTCATGCTACAATTTGCAAGCACCTAAATTTTAACATGCATTTGAAGGTGCTAAATAATTACTATATATATTAAATTAGTAAAATACTTGAAAAAATGAACAGAGAATTAATCTATAAATGTCTAATTGATTCCTTCACAAAAGGCTGGATCTTTAAATTTTGGACAAAGTAGTGTCCATTCTTTTCTAATTATTGATAAAAGAATAGTTGATGAAAACTTTTGAACTTACTTCATCATCAATTTACATGGTAAACAAAGTAAGTGTAAACTAAGTATGTTAATTATATATTAGTACTTATGAGGCATTTCTATACCAGCATGTTCTACTATTTTGGTTAATATTTCTCTTTTCATTAGTTCTTCTCCCATATCTATTGTATTGGCAACACAACATAAGAGTGCGAAGATCACTAATACATTTCTCATATTTTATAAAATGATTTGAAATATTACGTAATATATTTAAGGAAAAATATTTATTGATTATTGATATCAATCTTTTTTCTCAAATTATGAGATACTTATTGCAAATCCTTATAAAATAGATAAAGGATAACATATATCTACTGAATAAGTCTTTTTTGCACATTTTCCAAATTATAATACAAAAGTATTTTTATCTGTGCAATTGATATCATGAATTATACAATTCTTTACAGATGGCATAGTCACTCTATCATTAAATTATAATTAATATTTATTTTTCTCTTTATTGTAAATTGGAATCTTATTCATAAAATGCATAATTTAATCCTTATATTCTAATGAATAATAAGCTTTTAATAATCCATCTGTATCATTTAATGGTTTAAATTCATAAGCTTATCCATCTTTAATCTTAGGAATAATCACACTCTATCTTATTTGCCCTGTCTATTTAGAATTTTGAAAATTGATTAAACATAATTCCTTTCTTACTTTATCTAAAAACTTCACATCTTTTGGATTATCACCTGTGTCATATAATTTAAATGTTCCACCAGATCCTTTTATTTTTCCTAAACAAGATTTATGTTTTCTATCAAATTTGTCTTAAAGTATAGATAATACATAATGAATTTGTTAACTGAATGCCTATCGTTTTGCTGAACATAAAAATCTATTGGGTTAACCACTCAAATATAATAGATATTTATGGTGAAATTTATTAATGCCATTTTTATCCTTAACTATTGTCAGTTATATTAAATGTTCTAATAAAATATTCAAAATATCTTTTTACATTAATCAATTGGTTTTTACAAGAACTCTTTCATATCAATAATATAATCAGGTTGATATATTATTTAAGCTTATTTCTCTTATCTTTATGTCATAGCATCAATCTAATTCATTTATTAAACTTATTCAACTTCATTAATTTGTTTATTTTCATCCTTCCAACTCTAAAAGTCTTCGTCACAATGCATACTACCAAAATTGGCTATATTGTCTTGTTCATCTTCTTTTTTAAATTAAACAATCTCTTAGAACAAATTCTTTTCTTTCTTCAAGACTTAATTTTATTCTCCAAACGTGTATTATATTGATTAAAAGTTGTTATCTAAAGGGATTATAATATCTTCTTCCCTCTCTTCAAATTATTCAAAATTTACGATTTCTACATTACCATCATTATTTTCAGACAAGATTTCATCATCATTTTCTTTTTATTAGCTTAACATTATTATTAATTATAGATAAATTGATTTGTATGATTGTAATTTTACAAAATCATAATTTTCATTATTGCTTTGCCTATATTATATCAGTTGAATTTAGACATATTTAAGAGTATACAAAGGTATTTAGAAATCATATCTCTTATAACATTTTAAATAATAAATATTCTATATTACAATCCTAACATCAATCAAATCCTAAGTATAATTGTTCTCCATAATTATTTTCAAATTATCTAGCTTCTTATTCAAAACTAGCTGTAAAATACATATCATCTTCCTTATTATTGTTCTCTAACTTAATTTTATTTTATTTTTAACCAATTTAAATATCTTAAACAATTATTTAATCTAAGTTTCCCATTATATATTTGGTGTTCAATTACTCTAATTTAATCCTTTTTTATTATTTTTTTGTTGAAGATCTTACAAATTTCTTCTCCTTCAGATTATTTTATATTTACTTATGTTTTATTATTTAACATTTCGAAAGTAAACCATTTTCTAAAAGAATTTATTTTATTTTAAACTTTAGATTTTGTTCTTTAATAAATTTATCCATCCATGCTTTGGATGCTTTAAAAGATTCTATATTAAATATTTTGATTGCTTATTCCTTAATTTGATTTCTACTTATTTTCCTACCTTATTTTCTAGTTTCTTCCAATATCCATTCTTCTAATCTAATTACACCTTAAGGATTAATTTTTTTCCTTCCACAACCACCTTTTCTCATATAACCTTAATTAAACCATCTTCTTAAATTTCGTGTAGTTGTATTAAATTTCTTACTAAGTAAAACAAAATTCTCTTGACTAGAATCATTCAGTAATTCTTCTAATGCTTCCTTTTTTTGATTTGTACCTAAAACTTTATATGAATGAATTTTCCTTTCTTTTTTATTTATGTTTAGATCAACCATATTTTGAAATTTCTTTTACAACTTATAATTTAAATTTTAGATATTTTTGTAATATATTATTTATAATTAATAATTATTTAAAGGATAATTTAACTGTGTCAAATAACCTAAATATATGAATAATATTAATTTTTTATATGAACATTTATTATATAATAAGATAGTTCAATTGATTCATTCATTCATTTATTATAATATATATTTTTATTTTAATGATTATAGATTAAGAATGTATTTACACTTTAGATTATTATAAAAAATATAATAAAAATCAATATATAAATATTTAGAATGAAAAATTAATTTAAAGTCTTTAAATAATAAAAATATTGACTCAATTTGAATTAACAATAGTAGTCATAGTTCTTTTAATATTTTTAATAGGAATTCTAGGAGTTTCTTTTCTTGGTGATTATCTATTTGAACTTCTACTTGATTTCTATTATTAATCTTTATCTTTTTCTTTATCTTATTAATTTGGTTAAATAAGTTCTTTTAAATTCAATGAATTTAGTAAATCACTTAATCTTCTAGGCTTTGGTAAAAACAGACTTTATTTTTAAGGTTTTAAACATATTTAATCTATTTTTTCTTTTATTTCTGTTAGATGATCTTTTTGAATTTATTTTTTGAATGTAACTTTTAATTAAGATTTTCTTGGCTTTTCATAAATAACATCCTATTATCCAAATTGTTAGGCTTAAATAGGATCTAGTTCTATAATTAAAAGATCACTTTTAAGAAAACCTGAATAATTACAACCTCCAAAAATGTATAATTTTGATTCTATACAAGCAGCACTATGTCCACATCTGCCTGCAACTTAAGATCCTTTAATTTCCACATTAATCCAAGTCAATGTTTTCATATCAAGCAAATGAATATCATTTAAAAAACCATTTACATTAAGATCATCATTTTTACCTCCATATATAACTATAATTTAATATTACTCTAAATAATTCATAGAATGTTAACAACGACCAACTATTTTATATAATTTTATTATTTACTGGGTGAAAGTCCTTTAGTCTATACTTATTCAAAATTGATAGGCTTAGTAGTAATATCTATTTTAATAAGTTTGTCTAAATAATGTCCATGCTTATCGAAACCACCAAAAATAAAAACTCCCTAATAATTAAATTTAACTTCAGGATCATTTTTATATAATTCTACTTAAGTATTATGAAAGACAGCACAAGATTTATGAAAAGCTACTCCATCAAGAAAGCAAACATGTTGTTCTGTTAAGACTTATGACCATCTTTAAGTGGCAATATCATAAGAAATCACATCTCTTAAATATTAACCTTTAAGATCAATCCCCCCTTAAACAATCATATTTCTTCCAATGACTTCTGCTATATGACATTTCCTTGGTGGTATGATACCAGTTTATTTTAAAACTTTAAGTTCATTAGTAACTGATAATAATGAATTTTATTTACTTAGATTTATTATTTTAATATCACTGGTTATTTCACTACTTATTCTTTTATCATTAATTATCTAGTGTACTTCACCACCAAATATTATCATTAAATTTTTATATATTGCTGCTGAATGATTTCCTCTATATCCATTAGATGATTTTTCATCAAATTTAATTTAATTCCATTTATATTTTTCTATAATTTTATTAATATTTTACATTTATCTATATTCGCATAGCATAAGTCTTCTGTTTACTTTGATCCTGCTCCTCCATATAAATATAATTTATGATCATATGATAACATAGTACTTGCATTTCTTGAACATGGCTACCAATTTAAATTTGTATCTTTATATATGTATACACATTGTTTCTTTATTTTAATTTCGTTGATTAACGATTCATTTAATCTTCTCTATAATTATTCAGCATCTTTACTTTTAGTTATTAATTCACTTTGATTGCCTTACCTTATCTATCTACGTATTTATTCAATTCTTTATAGGTCTTAATATTGCATAGAAGGATATGATTTTACTCCTGGACTTTTTGATTATATTTTTTGAAAGTATTTTCTTACTTCCTCAATTTATGTTTCTTCTTATTTTTTATATTTTTCTTTTATTTGTCTAAATGTGTCTCTATTGTGTATTAATTACATTTTTCTAGAAGTGTAATATTTTGGTTGATCTGACTATTCCTCAGTAAATAAGGACTGACTATAATTATTCCACATTCTTTTAGATTGTAATAACGAACGTTTTAACTCACTTACAGCCCCTTGATTGAGTTCTTTAAACCCTAAAAATTGGGTAAGATCATTGTCTGGCAATTATTGTAAAAGATCAATTTTATTATCTAAAGCTACCTATTCAAATTATTCCAGAGGCAAAGGACTTAACTTTGTGTTAGCTTATTTGTATTTCTTTAAGAGTAAACCGATATCGACTGATCCACTCGAATTTGTACTTAAGCGATGCTATTCACTCTACATTTATTTATAATAGCATTATAAAAACAACAATGATTTGGATTGTAAATTATTTTTTATAAAAACTTATTTAATAATATACTTCTTTATAAGATTATTAAGATTATATTATAATATGTGTTTGTATCGATTCTTTATTAGACTCTATTTTATAGGATTACTTAAAAAAAAGATTGATAAAAAATATTGTTACTTATCTTTAATTGACCTTTAATACTTCTCAAAATAAATATGAAATAATATTGAAAAATCAGTTTCAGTTTTAAAATGAATAACGAACATTAAAAATATATTTATTATATTTTAAATTCTGAACTGAAATAGAAAAAAAAAACATATATATATATATAGATATTCTTTTTTAATTAATATTATAAGTAGAATTATTTTAAATCTATAAATAAACATTTTAAATTAAAACTATATAACTCGTTTTAATTCATAGATTAGATTTATTTTAAATTTTATATCTGAAATAAAAATGGAAGTCAATAATGAAATTAATGAGTATACTTATGAAGAAGATTTTGAAAATTTAGAAATTCCTTAATTATTTAGATAGAATGGAGTCAACATAAGTAATCAAGAGAATCAAGATAATTTAATATTGGATAAACCAGTCGACAAAATATTTGAAGAACAAAAATGTCCAATTTGTTTAGAATCATCAAATGAGTTATATCCTTTAAAATGTGGACATACTTTCTGCTAGTAAGATATAGAAAAAATGATTGAAATTTCAAAATTATCCTAAAATTTGATCTAATGCCCTTTATGTAGATCATATTAAAATTTGGATTCATATGATGAAGTTTTAAAATTTAGGTAACAAAATATAAAGAACTGCTAAAAATTGGTTCTTTGAGACATATAAATGATAACTTGTTATTTAATAGCTATAAAAAAAATATTTTAATTTCTAATTGATCACTCTATACCATATACAATCTTAAAAATTTTTTAATATATCTAATGGATTATATAAATAAATAAATTTTTATCCATAATTATCTGAACCTTATATTTATACTCAATTAAAAGATGTACTTTTCCAAAAACATAAGCTATTTAAAAAAGAATTTTAGAAGTTTATATAAAACAAACTAATAATATAATTAATTAATATAATGCAATCTAGTTAAAATAAGTATTCTACGTATTAGTGCAATTATTGTTCAATATATGTACCACTTATGTGTTAAGAGGTACATAATGTAAAATGTTTGATGAAAATTTAACAAGAAAATTCAGGAGGAAATTAATAGGATCAATAATAATAAAATCTCAATCAATAACATCTTCGTTTATTATCTGTAAATACATTAATATTATTTTAATAGAACAATATTGACCAAATTAATTAAGCGTAACTACTTTCCTCATAGGTGTTTAATACCCAATAATTTAGAAATGAATAAAAATTTTAATAGAATTAATAAAATACACTAAGTAGAAACTCTCAAATTAGAATAACAAACAATAATTTAATTTTTATATAAAATGAACCATCACTTACTCTGTAATAATAATAGCATTCATAAAAACCATTAAATTTTCCATAAAATTCTTAAATTCAATAATGTATTATGCAATCATAAAATATTAGTGGAATTAATTTAAATCAATAAAATTAAAGTTTTATTAATCTTCAAAGGCAGAATAAAAGTGAAATTTAATTAACAAATAATCTGCCTAAAATTAATTAAACTTAATAATAATAGCAATAATAATAATAATAATAATAATAATAACAATAATAATAATAATAACAATAATAATAATAATAATAATAATAATAATAATAATAATAATAATAATAATAATAATAATAATAATAATAATAATAATAATAATAATAATATTAGTTATTCTCTATACCAATTAGATCCACATAAGATAATATCAATTTACAAACACAAAATCGAAATAATCCATCTTCAATTTAATTCTAAAATACGAGTCAATTGATTACCTAATTTAGCACTAATAACAGAGAACCATTTAGAATGCATTCCATTAATCCTTAATAAAGACAAAATATGTTCCCAGATGATAGCGATGAATCAATTAATGAAGAAGTAGTGTATGATGTAAGTGGATTAAATAATTTTGATTTACTAAAAAACTACACAGATGAGGAAGTTAATTAAATGAATGATGAATAAATCTTTTAATACTTTTGGAATAAATAAATTTTGGAAAATCATACCAATGAGCCTAATTAATAATTATAAATGATGATAAAAGAATAAGATAAATATGATAATTAATGTGTAATTTGTTAGGAGGCCATGATTGATAATGATGAGAAAAGAATTTTAGTTTGTTTACATAAATTTCATAGTTATTGCATATCTACTTGGCTTCAATGTAAATCCTAATGCCCTATATGTAAAGCACGTGTCTGAATATATTATTTGATAAATTTTTATTATTTATTGGCTTTCTAGAAAAAAATATAATAATAATTATTATTTGAATATTCATGCAATAAGTGGCTCCAGAAGTACAAACTATTTTTGATGAATTACTCAAACCAGTATTAGAGAGAATTGAAGTTTTGAAAGATAGAGATCAATCAAATGAGTTATAAATCAAAAATCTATTTGATCAAATGAGTGAATTAAAAACATTAATAGGAAATCTAAAACCAATAAAAGTAGAAGAAGAAAAGAGTAATATTTAATAGTATTTAATAGAAATTGTCAAATAAGATCCTAAAAAAGAAAATCATTAAAATAATGGTATTTTGAAATTAATATATTCCCACCATATAATTAGATGTTAAAAAGATTGATCGTCCATCTACTGCTGTAACAACAAAAAACCCAGCACCTGCAAAAGTAAAAGAACCCAAGCCTATAACTGCCCCAAAACCCTTAAGTCAAAGTACAATTGTTGAAAAAACAACAGCACCTGTTGATATTGAAAAAAGTATTTAAAACTTTAATCATATTTTAATAGACTAACCAAAATCTCCAAAAGAAGGAAACCAAAATAAAACTAAATAATAATAATAATAATAATAAATACCATAACCTAAACCTAAATCTGCAGTTTAACCATAATAAAAATAATAATAAATTAAAGAAACAAAGGAAATAAAAGAAACAAAGGAAACTAAGGAATAATCAGCCAAATAGACACCTTAATAAAAAGAAGAAAAAAAAATTGAAAAATAACCAGCCAAAACTAAAACTGCTTAGCCTGCATAACCTATTTAAGCAGAAAAAAAAGAAGAAAAAAAAGACACTAAAAAAACAGACAATAAAACTTCTCAAAAATAGAATACAAAATAACCTGAATAGAAATAAACAGATAAAAAAACTGATGATAAAAAGATTGTGAAAAAAGGAAAATAAACAGAGGATACATTAAATAAAAATGAATAATAAACAGATGAATAATTTTAATAATAATAATAAAATATAACTAAAACTTAGAATAATAGTGAATAAAAATAATAAATAGAATAACCTTAGTAATAAGTAGTTGAATAAAAAGAATTTATTGAAACAAAAACAGAGTCTCCTGAAATTTAAAACATTGAACCTAAAGAGTCAATAGTAGAATAATCGCAAAACTAAGATTAATTGACATAGAATCAAGATGTCTAAGAAGTTAATGAAATTTTGCCAGAAAAAATTGAAAATTAATAATAGGAAGTAGTTTGATGTGATATGAATATGCATTAAAATTTTAACCATTATTATAAATGCAAAATTACAATCATATCTTCTGTATTATAATTGAATCACCACTTTTTTAATATTTTCTTTACAAAACTTAATCCCAATTTATTAAGAACTTTATCAATTTTCTAGGTATTATTTTAATTTTAATTGTTTTAATTGAGAAATGTTTATATCTCATTAAAATCATTTGGTATTTATTAAGCATCAATATTATTTTACTATTGTTTATTTTTGCATAAACATTCCCTTCCTTTTATCCATTAATCTCCACAAGAATAACAAAACTAAAATCCACATGGGCAAGTCATATGATTGCATCCAAAAGTTTTATCTATCCACCTGTGACATTTAGAACATTATTTATAGTTCTTTTCTAAAGCAACATTTATAAAGCTTTATTCACCACAAACTCCTTCATGAAATTACTTTTTGCATCTAGTACAAAATAGATTTTAGCATATCATGCACACTTATATAGGTCCTTCTATTTCATAAACACCTTTACAGTTTTCTGTAGGACATTAAAAGATATTTGAGTTTTATAATAAATATTGATTGAAAGCAATTTTTTCTAGTTTATCCATAATTTAATTTGATACTATATTTTCTAAATCATCTCTTAATATTTCTTGTCTACATTCTAAGTTTGGACATCTAATTGGAAATTCAACTGATGCATTTATTAAATTCTCTAAACACTATTTATGATAAATATGTTAACAAGCTATAAGAATATGTTTGTTTTATATAACATTTTCTAAACAAATACTACATTAGTTAGTTTATTTAATTTAACTATTCTAATTTATTTATGAAAATATCTATGATTTCTAACTTTCTTATTTTCTATATTCTTGATATTATTATTTCTTATTTATTTATGATTAATCTATTGATAGATAATAAATTTCTTTTATTTTTGGTATTTAAATGCTTACTTTTGATTAATCATTCTAAATTATAGAATCAATTATTTCTCGATTCCCATTCTTTTCCAACATCTAAACATTTGATTTTTAGATTTATTCTATAGATTGATCCGCGTTTTTTTCAAACACCAAATTTTCTTAAATATTCTATTTCAAAGGATTTTCTTATTTATATTCTATTCTTGAATTTTCTTATACTTTTATTTAGTTTTGACTTTGTGATTATTATTAAACAATTGATATATGATCTTTATTTTAAATAACTGATGTATCAAATAACTAAGAACCTGAGTTATTTTATAAAGCAATATCAGGAACTTCCAGATTAATATTTAGTTTTCCATTTATGTAATTATTATATATCAATTACAATTCTTACAGATTAATTTTTTTGAATACATATTCTTAATGAACTTAGTTAATAAGATAAAATGATTTTTTTAATATGTTTGGATCATTATTAGAAGCTCCTGCCTAATAAGACAAAAAAGTCATATGTAACAATTAGCTCGTATTCTAATTATTTTTATGATTGTTTACATCAACAAAAGGCTGTTCTTATATCTTTCTAATATAATTGCTAAAATCAAAATAATTTTTCATTTAATATTAAATAATATATAATTTACTCAACAAGTAATATTGCTTGTTTACAATTTAAATAAAGATTTGCCAACTTATACTTCGAGTTCTTGATAAATTTACAAATCTTCTTTTATTTAGACTAAAGTTCCATATTTAGAATTATTGTCAAACAAAAATAGAGAATCTTATTATTGAATCTTCTCTATTTATAGAGTAGCATGAAATCTGCTAACACTAGCTTCACACAATTTAACCCAATTTTCTCTAGCTCTACCTAAACTCATTTTTTCTCCAAGACTTATAACAATAACACCATCAGATTTAGAAGTGAAACGATCTCCTAAATTAATTTGATTAACTTAGGTTTCCTTCTTTTTTGAATAGAATTCTAACATTACATATGGAAATCTAGGTTTTAAAAGTTCTAGCATATGATATGTTACCCCATCACTTTAAAATATTACCTTATAGGACTCTTTACAAATTTCACATTTTAATTAATTCCATAGATATGTTTCACTTTTCTCAGATGATCTTGACGCTGAAGTAAATTCTTTGAGCCTAAGTCTTATTCAAGAATACCATCTTTTCATGCATTCAAGATGAATATATTTAAGAGATCCACTGCATTTGCATGGATTCAATAAAGGATTAGAACTTTATGTATTTCCTAAACATATTCGACATTATTCATTAGAATCTGCCTTGCTATGGTTCAAAATTTCAGGTTCTTTATCAGGATTAAAACTAAGACTAGATATTCTAAAAGTCATTTTTCCAAGCCTAAAAATGTCATTTACATTTAATGGATATTTGTTAACAGATCTTACTGTCAACCAATTTTTCTTTAATTTGTATGGAAATTAAGTATTTGTTAAGGCTGTTGAATTTCCTTGTTATTATAATGTCCCGGGAACAATAGTGTTTTTAGCTGTTACAAACAGTAAAACTTCACTATGTATAATAGATATATAATACTTATTTTCATTAGGTATTTAATGTATTAATTGAAGCGCCTCTTCATTTCTAATAATATATGAATCTTAATTTTAGATTGTAAATTATTGTTTTTAATGGGCATTACTCTCATAATCAAAGAGATCACAAGTTCCATTATTTTAGGTGTGACAATATATTGAAATCCTAAAATAATTTATATCAAGTACATATATTACCTTTCATTACGCATTTAACATTATCCCATATTTCAATATATAATTATATTTTTAATATAAATCAAAAATCAGAATCAATTATCTCTCTTTTAATTTTTTCAACTACTTATTCAACTAATTTAACAAATAAATCTTCATTTCTTTCTCTTTCAGTTCTATTTCTTTTACAAACATCATAGGCATTTTAATATATTTTTTTGAGAATTGCTATTATTTCTTCCTCTCTTTATTCTCTTTATTTTTATTAAACATCAAATATTCTTTTGAGTTCATTTAATTATTCATTAAATTATTATGCAATTTTATCTTCAATTTCTTCTCTTATTCTAATTTCTTACTCTATATCTTAATAAAATAAGGGTATTTATTCTTTTTACATTAGTTATAAAAAAATTACCATTTTAAATCTCTAATAATCTATTTTAAGTTTCTGATTTTTAATGATATTCTTTCTATATTTCTATTGATAATTAATCAATTTATTGAGATAGATTTTTAAATACTCTATTTTCTGTTTCCAATCTTTCTTTGCTAAAACTATTTAAAAGGTTTTTGGAATTCTTTTCAACTTAAAGAATTTCTTTTCTCATCTTATCATCCAATTAATCTCTAGCTTCTTTTTCACTATCAACAATAGATTTCAGTCTTTATAACTTTACTTTTTATAAAATTAGTTATACTTTTTCTGCAATATCCAAAAACTTTTAATTCTTTTACTATTAAACATCTTCTATAGCCAATTCAACACTTTACAAATAACCAAGAATCAATTTGAATTTTGATTATTTCTCTCCTTCTACATTATTTTAAAGAGACTATAATTTTCCAAAAATTCTTTAGGCTCTTTCTTCTAATTAATCTATTAGATGTCTTTAATAATTTTACCAGTCATATTTCAAATTTGAAATTTAATAATAAAAATTATAACAAATATTCACAATTATTATTCTAAATTAAAAAACAACTCTTTCAACTTTCATTAATCAATTAATAAACACAAAGAATTTTGATTTCAATCTTTTTCTAAATATACAAAAAATGTAATTTCCTAAAGATACAATTTACACGTTTATAATAGGTTATATTATTTTATCTTTGATTTTATAATAAAATGGTTTTATTTTATATCAAATTATATAAACATAATTAGATATTAATAAGTTTTATTAATTCGATATATTTTGTTAGAACATTAAAATACCAAATTAACCTGTTCACATCTTCTTTCCAGTTAATTATTTTTTATCAATTAAAATCCACTAATTCTCATTTTAAATATACCATTAGAAAAATATAATTTATGGAAATTAAATTTTTAGACAGTCTTCGCTTACACTTTTATAGAACAGTATACTGATCATCGATAAAGGATTAAAGAATGATCATGCAAGTTTTTGGATTTAATGAGTTAACTAAGCCATCTACATTGACATAATAATTTTTATTAACTTATAAATGAATCCTAATGATGAACAATAAAGACTATACTAAATGTTCTAATAAATGGCAGGTCCTGATCCATATGGAAGAATGCTTCAGATACCAAATTCTCCTTATTATCCATGCTGGGGACCCCCATTTCCTTAACCAATTATGGCACCACCTCCTAATCAAAAATTCTAATTTCCTGAACAGTTCCCACATGACTAAGCACTTTAGATGAATTAACTTCCCTCCAATTAAAATGGATTAAACCTAAATGGCATCACATAAGGTTTATAAAACATGCCACCAATGCCTATGGGTTTACCACCAGGCTTTGGGATGCCTCCATTAGGTCCTGGGTAAATACCATAAGGACCTTTGGGAGCTGGATCTATGGGACCTCCTCCAATGAGTGGAATGAATGGAATGGGACCAGGTACTATGCAATTACCTGGGATGGGACCAATGCCATAAGGACCACTTGGTTAAATGCCACCTTTTGACTTTTAATTCAAACAATAGTCTCCATTACAACCGCCTATGAATCCAAATTAAGTTTTGCCACCCCAATAGCAACCATAATAATAACAACATTTACCATAATAACACCAATTACAATAATAACAATAAGGTCTTTTATAATAACCATAGTAATAACCTTAAGGATAATCAAATTAACCCAATAATAATGCAGTTCAATAAAATTTGGAATAAGGTAACTATAAATGTATGTATAAATAGGATTCTCATAAGTAGTGAATGAATTTTAACTTAAAATTTTAAATATGTTTGTTATGTAAAATTAAATGTTGTTGGATTTTAAGAATAAAAATGCAAATTTGGAAAATACTATTACATAAATCTTAGATGAAATAACAAATCTATAAAAAATTGTTGAATAAAAATTTGATAATATTTAAGCAGATGATTTTATGAGTAGATGTAAATGAAATTTTTTTATCTTTAGTATCAATACCAAATTAAGAAATGACATAAAACAATATTTTATTGAAGTCGTTATAATGCAACTAAAATGATTTTAAATATTAATTAGTGTTAACTAATGATTTAGAATAGCCATTATTCAAAGATAAAAATTTTAATTTAGACATAGCTCTTAAAGATATGAAAGGAATAAATATTAAAAATCATAATAAAATAGAATTGGAAGTTTAATTATATTCTTCAGATGACAAGCCTGTACTTTTAATTTCAAATTCTTAAAATTAAGCTATTTTGAGATAACCTGAAGACAATATATGGTTGGAAGAAGGCATATCAAATATTGAGAAACTATAAATAAATGAAGTAACTTCTCATTATTAGAATGGTTGGATATATTTAGTTGTTTATCCAATAAAAAATGATAATAAGAATGTATAAAATGAGATTAATTCTGCTTAAATAAAACCGTTGATATATAAAGTCAGTGTAAAATCAAAGAAAACTTAGAAAAAGTATTTAGTAAAAATAAATTAGGTCATCTCGTTCTAGATCGAGATCTCATGAAAGATTACGTAGACTAGAAAAGTTAGATAATAAGTCAAGTTCAGAGTCTGAAAATCATATTTAATTAGAAATCAAAAATCTTGATGATAATGATGAGATTTAATAAGAAAAAGATAATGATATTAATAAAGAATAGATAGAACAAAAAGATTAATAGTAAAATGATGAATAAAAGAAGGATGAGGTATATTAAAATAATGAATCTGAGATTTGAGATTTGTAATGTGTTTGTGATACTTATTTATAAAATTAATCATTTCAGTCTCCAAGTTTCTTTGATTAATAATATAAAATTATCATCTTTTTCAATATCAGCACTGATAGCAGCATAGTATTCTTTCCATTCCTAAATTTAGATATTATATTAATACATCTAAAGTTATATGTCCTGATTTATTTCCTTCCTTAAAATATTGCAATAATTCAATATAAGCTTAATCTTCAGTCAGTTCTCCTCTAGTAACTTTAGGATGATTTTTTGCATTGAATATCCCTTTGAAATCATCAGCCACAATATAACCTAAATTATCCTTATCAAATTTTTTGAATGCTTGGATTATTACTTACATACGATTCTCATTTGGAGTTCCCTATTTATTAATTTATATTTTACTCTAATTAAATAAAAGAATTCAGCAACATCTATTGATCCATCTCTGTTTCTATCGAGATAATTTAATAAAAACTATAAATAAAATATTAGATTACATCAGTTTAGAATTTTGTTAACACTACTCCATTTTACTTTAATCCAATGAGGAATTCATCTTTATCCATTCTATTATTTTTATCAAATGACTCAAATCCCCTGAATGTTTTTCCTAAAGTTCTAATAGTCGTTTAAGATTTTCCTAATAATGATTTTGTGATCTTCTTAATAACTTATTATAGTAATCTATTTACTTATATCAAGTTATTCTTGAGGAGTTATCATTTTTATAATTTATTTTATTTATTTATAAATATTAATTATATCATTTATCTCTCCATTAACATTATAATTCTGATATAAATTGTTGTCAAAACTAAATATGTTAGTAATAGGAATAGAAATGATGATTCTTAGGTTAATTTAAAAAGATATAAAAATGAATTTATATAGTTTTTAGAAATGATTGATATGGTAAAATAGTATCAAAAGATTTTGATGATATAAATAATAAATATCAATAATTTAATTATGCTTCTATAATTTTAATGTCTTAGAAAACATTTGATTTTTGATAAAGCTTACATCCTTTAATGTTATGAAAGAGAAGTTTTCATTGGAGAAGTATTTCTAATATTTTAGAATATTTTAAGAATAAAGCTAAACCCAAATATTATTTTGAAGTGTCACTTAAGAGTTTAATTGTATTTCACACTGAATCAGATTATATTGGATTCTCCATTCCATATAGAGGAAAATTAAAGCTATTTCATGCTAATTCCAAAAAAATTAGAGAACTTAAAATACTATTATCTGGAAAGGTTCTTTTTGGAGACTTGAATTAATTCTACCTGTAAAAACATTAACTTGGACATGGATCATTTTCATACGTAAATCAAATTATAAATAAAAGGTTAATATGTTGTAGAACCTAGAAACTAAAGAAATGATGGCAGCTAAATTTTTAAGTAAGCATTGGAAACATAAAACTAATACAGAGCGAATGAAGGCAATAATATTAAAATTATTTAAAGGAAATAATAAACGAAAATAATATTGTATAATCATTGAATCATCCAAATATAACCAAAATAAAAGAGGTCTATGATAAAAATTAAGAGATAGTCATTATATATGAATTTATTAATGGAGACACTCTTGAGAAATATTTACATGATCATTGTGGATCTCTAAGTCATTTCGATGTTTAATCTATTATGCGAGTAAATCTAATTAATTTAAATTCTTAGTAATTAATACTGACATTATTCTATCTACATTAATAATAGTTCATTCACAGAGATATAAAACCATCAAATATAATGATTTAATAAAATCATAATATTAAAATAATAGACTTTGGTTTAGCTGCTAAAATTGGAACAACTAATAATGATATATGTGGTACAATTGGCTATATTGCTCCAGAAGTATTATGTATTACTACTCAATAATCTGTTTATTCATTTAAATGTGATATGTTTGCAGCAGGAGCTATATTTTATAAATTGTAATTCAATTTATGTTAATTAAGAATAACTTCCTATGATTTATTGAAGGAAACAAAAGATTATACAAATTTTTAATTAAAATTAGATCTTTTAAAAAAACTCAATACTCCAGAGTCAGGGATTGATTTATTACAAAAACTTTTGGATTTTAATTATAAAACAAGATTAAGTGCCAAAGAAGCTTTATCTCATCATTATTTTACTGAATCTTTAAGAGTGTCAGCCAAAAAGTCTTTACAAATTTCTCAATAGAACATTTTATTAGCAAATACTTCTCAAGTTTCTCAGATAGGTACTTCAGAAACCCAAATACAAAATGTTAATGTTTTTACTTAAAATCTTAACAAGCGATTCAGGTTTTCAATATAATTAAATAATTGATTTTACTATTAAATTTATTTATTAATTTATCTATTATATAAAATTATATAATATTTTATAAGGTATTCAGATTTCTAATAATAATTTAGATATTTAAAAGAATTTTAAATGATTAATGTAAATTTATATATGAAAAAAAAAATATTCAAAATTATAAAATTGTTTCAAATCAAAATTCAGTAGATTAAGTATATAATTAATCTAAAATATTAGTATATCCAATTGATCTTTGTGAATTTGTATGAGATCTAGTTGATTTTTATGATTTATTTTTAGATCCTAACACTCTACGTTTGGTCTCACCTCGATTAAGCAGCTCTTCAAATTCTAATAAAATTTATTTATTTTCTTAATTTAATCCACATTTCATTAACTAATTATAAAAATTTTAATATACTTTTTAAATAATAATTTAGAAATACTCTTTTATTTATGGATTTTCTAATCTTTCTTAATAATATGGATAGCATTCATAAAATTTTCTTGCTAAAGATTCCTTCATTTAGAGTTTTGATAATGTAAAAACTATGTTTTATACTTCAAATTCATTAATATTTTCTTTTAATCTTCTCAACAATTTTTCAACCAATTATTCAGTCTATTTATCTAAGTATTTCAAAGTATTCATGAGAAACATTTTATATTTATCATTACTCTCTTCATTTGACATACTAAATATGATATCAGGTAAACTATTTAATATTCTTCTTGAATCTTTCTTTTATATTTGGAAAAAAAATCTTTTTGCTGATTACTAAATATTTTCATCAGGATCAGTCAATAACATAGCTATATCAGTAATTTCTCTTTTGATTTTTATCATGTCATTTAATATTAAATGTGATAACATATTTAATGATGTTTTTTTTACAATAAAATCCTAATTGTTTAACCCATCAAAAAGTTATCTACAATAAGATGTTACTGTATTAGGCCATCTATGTAATAGATCACCAATAGCAACTATTAAATTATTCTTAAATATTCCATCTGAATTTGGATTTTATATTAATTTAAACACTTTTTCTATATGTTCTTCACAAAATTATTCAGATAAACACATAAATTTACATAAACATAAACCTGCAGATTTATGTAATATTGATAATTGTACATTTTCTTCTTCAATTTCAGTTAATATTTCTAGAACTATTGGTGCAAAATTTTAATAAAATCCTTTTTAAATTACACCTATTTATATTTATAATAATAAATACTATATTTGCATAAAGTCTATAAATATACACAATTATATTCGTATTCTTCTTCACAACCACCTTATATTTTATCCAATTCATTTTCTTTAGCTTCCTCTACATTTCTTAAATGTGTCAATTAATTTTCTATCTCATCAATATGAAGAATGATTGCCAAAGCAGATTAACCAACAATAAATAATAATTAACTAAGTTGTATGCATTAATTATTAAATACTAAAGTTGATTCTTCTTCAAGAAAATCTTAAGTACTAATTAATAAAAATAAGATATATACCTTCTTTTAGGTGTCATTCCCATTTAAAAAACTTTAAAACTAAATTTTTTAATTATGTAATCATATATACTCTCTGGAACAGGTAAAAATTATATTAAATTTAAAATTTCTTAACAAGCAACAAACCATAAATTATTAGGTGTTCCAAAATAAAAATATAAAATTAATGAGAATTATTAAAAATATTTTTTAACAAGTACTTTATCTTCTAAATAATAAATTAATTTAGCTAATTCTATAACAGTAATCCAATTAACTTCTTTTTTTTATCCTTCAATTATTTTACTTATTTAATCTAATTTCATTCTTGTTAAAAGATTAGATTATTATCCAAATGTAACTCTAACAAGTTTAGAATACTAATTTAATTATTCATGTTGATTAGCAGTATAATTTCTTATAAAATTAGTCCATACGATTTCAATCGTAGATTCTTATATCATTTTTTATTTGATCATATATCGAATAAGTTCTTCAAGATAAATTTATTCTTTTGATGATGAAATTTTTAATAAATGAATTAGATTATTAATTGGTACTTATTCATTATCATTTTCTATAAATAACATATAGAATTTTTTAGCTAATTTATTCACTATTTAAGGATTATTAGAGTGTATTAACATTTTCATAATACCAACATCAGTATTTTCTATTTTCTATTTAAATAAAAAACTAATAAGGGAAATTGCTTTATAAATATCAGTTATGCATTTGCTATTTAATAATAATTCAATATTTGGTAATAACTTTTATAAGAGTTCCATAAATTCTTGATATTAAATAAATACTGATTATAATTTCTTCTTTTCTCTTAAATTAGATACAACTAAATTTTCTTCATCTTCTAATTCTTTGAATTCTGCTTCAGTTTATGCATTTGCTTTATCTTCTAATATTTAATCAATAGCTATTAAAGTCTTATGAATTTCATTTCCTAAATATTAATTTTATTCCTATATATCAGTTATCTTCATAAAATTTTACATCTATAACCCATCAACAAATAGGTTTTTCATAAATCTGATTGAATTCTATATATTTTGAAATTGTACTTTGTAATTTATTTAACAAATGCCAAGGCAGCCTTTCTAACCATTGAAGAGACATCTTAAACTCTTGCAATAACTAATGGAAACATCATTAATTAAACATTTGGAGGGATTAGATTTTATGAGCATACAACTCTTAACATTTTTAAAGTGTGAACTCTAGCATATGCATTTTTATCTATAATTCTTGATGATAATTTTTAAATAAGGAATAGTCTTTAATTTAATTAATTTTCTTTCATTTCTATATCTTACTCTACTTTAGATGGATTCAAATGTTCAGTTAAAATATTTGTGATTATAGTATTAATAGCATTTCTAAGACAATAACACTAATTATAAATATAATATATATACTTCACTATCATAAAATTACAAGAAAACTGGTAAATTTTAATTAAATAAATTAGGTAATTGAGCACTTACTCTTTCAAATACTTTCGATACTTATTTTAATGAATTACTTTCATTTTATAAGATTTCTAAACTATGTTAAGCTAGAATAGTAATAAATTAAGTAACAAAAGCAGTATTTTCACAATATATTAATAAATCTGAAATTTATTAATCACAATCTTCTGAATTGAATACTATTTGTATTAATCTATTTTTAATATAATTATGAAGATTTTCTTTTCTAATTATTTTCTTTGCTTAATTTTATAAATATTGCTTAATATCATTCTCTTTTATTTTTGTTTTATAAAATTATAATATTGTTTCTATTCCCATTTAACCATGTTTATCATATTAGTCAAATGATATTAATATTTCCTTCTATAATTAATATAAATATTCCTTCCTATTCTTATTTTAATCATCTAGAGTAGCTTATAAAAATTTCATCTATAAAATCTCAAATTCTAACACATCTTGTCTCTTTAAAACTTCTTTCTCTAAAAATTCTAATATATCATCTTTTTATAACTATCTCATATACATAATACATACTTATTATATGCCATAATATAGTATTGTAAAGGTTTCACTATCAAAATGCTTATTTTAATTAAATTCTTCAATAGCTGATCTCATTTATCTGAGTATCAGTCTACTATCCTTAGTTTTTAGTGAATTATAAAGACTATTATCAAACTATAATATAAGTTCATCATACTTAAATACTGGGATATTCACTTAGCTCGTTCATAAAACTTTTTAAATTCAAATAATTTATGCGGCAATTTATTATAAATATATATATAATATATCAACTTACATTACTATTTTCCCAATAATATCCTGAATGTCTTTAATCTGTTTTTTATTATTAAACCCAATAAAAATCAGCATTAGAATTTTAAAATTGAATATCATCTTATTTTTATAAGAGTGGATCTTTCAAATCTATTTTTATATCAAAATTTTCATCATTTTCATCTGTAGGATGTTAAATAGCCCATATTTCAATAATATTGATTTACAATTTTTTAACATAAGGTAATATTAAAGGTCCATTTTCATAAGAATCATCTGTTTAAGTACAATATGAATTCTATAAATTTTTATCAATCCAGATTCTGTAACCCTCTCCATTTTTACCACCAAAGCCAATACCTTTATTTGAATCAAGAAAACAATAATTTTATTCTCCTCTTTTTTTAGATCTATAAATTTTAAAATAAGGATAGAGACTAAATATGCAATCTTTTTTGGTTCCAAAGTATTATTTAGTGTCATACCATCTAAGATTTGTAAGAGCTCCAAATATCTATTATTTAATTTTCTATTCATATTTTTCTTCATGTTAAAAAAACATAATTGTAGGTAATTTACAATCTAAATATTTTGATTATTCATAATACCTTTAAGTGATTGAACCATTTAATTAAAACCACCTTAATGAGCAACATTTGAATATAATAAAGTTAATTAATTGCAATCTGTAAGTACAGATTAAGTGCTTAATAATAATTGGAAAAATAATTCATCTGTTACAAAATATGATGGAGTATTGATAACTGGAATAGTATTCTAATTTTTTATTTATTATATTATATATACATTAAATTATTTTCCCATAAATTTAGCTTAAAAATACTTTTTAATAAGATATTTAGCTCCTGGCATTTATTTTGAAATAAAATCCATCAATTATATCCATGATAATGAACCTGATTCATTTTCTACATTTAGAATTAAATAAATACTATATAATTAATCTATTAATGATTTAATGTATTTTTCATTAGTTGGTGTATTTTTTTGTGTATGTTGATACATTTTAATAATATCCTATTATAATAGAATAATTTGAAATACTTTAATAACATTTAGAGTATCAAGATAAGTTAATTACAATTATGCCAACTCTTCTTTTGTCTTTACATATTTATAGTTCTACAAAGTGATCAAAGACATTAATTCAAATCTTTCTAGATTCTTGAATACTGGAACTGTAGTTTAAACATCTTTAACTAAAAGCTCCACTATATTGTAAGTAATATTAATAATACAGAATTCGAACAAAGGTTCTTTCTTCACATAACCTTCGCTTCCACTATATAATTCAAGGAACTTAAATAATTTAATTCCAAATGTAGGATTTTCTGAGAATATATCTTCAAATGATCTTTAATTAAGTTATTTAATATCACGAGTTCTAATAATATTGATATTATTACTCACTACTTAATTCACAATAATATTGAAATTATGAATTCAATTGAGTATATTCAGCTTAATCAAATGCTAAAATTACTGTATTCTTTCTTGAATCATAACAATTCCCCATATATTTAATATGAAAAAATATAAATTATTAAAATAAAACGATATATATTTTTTTAAACTTATCATTAATCTAGTAATCTACTTTAAGTTACAATCATTCTTATCATTGTTGTATTTTCAACTAGATTCATATGAGCAGTTCGACCTATGAGATTATCCCAATTCTTATCATTTTCTGTAAATGTAAAATTCACTTCAACTCTTGTACATTCAGGTAATTTAATGTTGTCAAGCATAGTTTAGTAAATTTATTGTTTATCTTAAGGAACTCTATTAGATTTTTCTAATCTTGCAACTTCAAATGGAACAAAATCATCTTATGTTGAACTAATCAATATCACTTTTTAAAACCACTCTAAAGATTATACTGTTGATAAATAATAGAGATAAGAATTCTAAGGTTATGAAGCATCTTATAATTATAATTCAGCCATACTTTAACTGGATGAGAAATTAGTCATGAACCATAAACCAGTTTTAACTAAACTATTTTATTTAACAAATAATCCTATATGAGGTGATCCAAGACTTACATAAAATCTCATCTTATTAGAATGCATACTTAAATTACAAAGAGCTGATCTTGCTACTACACCTCCTAAAGAATGACAAATAAATGATAATTCATCTATTCCATCCATCAATTAAATTTAAGCTTAAATTTCAATACTTAATTTATGTCCCATTACTCTAATTGAATCTTCACCTTCTCTTTAATTACAACTTGATATTAATGTAAAACATTTTGGATAATATATTTTAATAATATTTCTCCATCTTCTCATATCAAAAGGAGATCCTTTATATCCATGTACAAATACTATCAAATGTTTATTATCTGACTTTTTTTAATTTAATTAATAATGTTTAATTTCATTTTATGAATATTTTATTAGAATAGGTAGATTATCCAATATTTCTGTACATGTTATAGGTAGAATTGGTAGAATTCTTTAATCTAATTATCTTAAAGAATTAATTAAATTATAATTTTTCATTGTTTTATCAAATTATGTAGTATTATTAATCTTTATTACAAATTCTTCATATAAATCTTGAAGTTCTGTTATATATTTGATTTTTAATTTCTTCATTAATTTAGCATAAATTTTTGAAATAACATCGATATAGACATACCAAAGCATATATAATTATAAACTAATAGAATTTATTTAACGTTCTAAATCTTCATTATTATATTCCACTTCTCCTAAACAAGCTAATTATTACTAAATTTAATTATCTTAATTTATACTAAATAATGTGCAAATTTTGTTGGTTCAGTTATATATTCAGCAATAGTCTCTTTGTATTACTGAATAAATTGCTTAAATATTGACTCAAGGTAATCAAAAGTTTTCTATTATAATAATTCAAATTGGCCCTTTCTTTTGTATTTTTGTATATACTCATTCATTGTTAATCCATCTTTTCTCTATTAATACTTTAAGTCTATTAATCAATTAATTATACTCAAAGGTAATGAGAATACAAAGCAATTTATAACACAAGCAGTATTTGGATCAAAAGTAATAGGTAAATAATTATGATTTATTTATTTTAGAGAATGAATGACGTAGGTTTGTGAAGATAGTTTATTTAAGGGTAATACTTCTAGGTCTTGAAATGATTCTACAGATTTACTATCTAAAAATAATAAATCAACTTGTAATTCTACAGAGTTTAATTAACCAAATGTATTTTGTTCTATTCTAAAAATACATCCTTCACATAAATTAATCTAAATTTTATTGATTTATACCTCCTCATCTTCATATCTAATTACAAAAGAACTTGAAAGAAAATATTAATCTTTAATGTCTTAACCAACTAATTTTTAATCTCTTTGTTTCTTTTATTTACTAATCCCCAATTAATCTAAAGTTAAATATGGCAAATGTTTAGGTATTGATATTTAAATCCTATAAATTCCTTATTAAAATAGATCAACATTTCTAAAATTTCTAATAAACACTAACAATTCAATTTATGTTATGAAACTCATAAATTTAATATAATCTTTTTATCTACATTAACTTCTATTTTATAATCCAATCCATAAACTTTTGATATGGATCATATTGCAATTACTAATATTCTTAAAAGCTATGGGTATACTCATTATATAATAATCAAGCTTTAAAGGTGCAGAACCTCAATATAAAACTATAAATTATTCAATAGTTCCTAAACATTTAAGTTTAGAAGATCATATAGAAAAACCACAACTTGAAATCCTTTAATAATTAAATGAAGAGAAAAAATGTCGTGAACTTGTTGAAATACATGGTATCACATTAGAAAAAACAAAATAATTTTATGCAGATAAAATCAAAGAATACAATGATATAATAGATTTGAAGCATATAAAGAATAAAAGATATTAATCATAATCAGTTGATAAATCAAATAATTAAGCTTTTCTTCGATTTGCAGGAGATGAAGGTAAAATCACAAATTTTCACATTTCAATTAATTCTAAGAATCTAATACCATTATTGAATGAAATTAATAAAAGATCTTCTAATGAATAAACTATACAATAAAGTCCTCTTAGTTGTAAAAGATCAAATAGAAATAATCAAAATAATACATTAAAAACCTCAAATAATTACACAAATATTAAGTATAATCTACAAACAATTAAATCTAAATAACCTTAGAATATAACTTAAAGATTGGAATAGAAATTAAATAACTTTGATCGTTTAAATTAAAGTTAAGTTAGTCCAATGAATTAAGTTAATTTTAATGAAGATCTTTCATTAGATATGATAAAAAATAGAAAATCTTTTTCAATTGATTTGAGATTTAAAAGAAGAAATTCTGAAAAAAAGAAAACAAATACATATGTAAAATAATTAAAATAAGAAATACCTAAAGTAATTATATAATAATTTTAAGATAGATTTATCATAATTGATTTCTGATTCCTTTAGATAAAATATATCAAGATCTTGTTAATATGAAGATGAATAAGAAGATTAATAAAGAGAATCTTAATTTAATTAAAATAATTTAGAATTAACTTAAATCTAATATCCAACTCCAGATTCTAAAATTGAATAATATAAATCTACTATATAAGATTAAACAGAAAAAGAGCAACTTCCAGATATTTATAAAGATATAAGTATATATATATTTATATATGTTAACTCTTTTAGAAATTAATTAAAATGTCGATTTTGAATAAAGAAAAAAAGTATTAAAAAGAAGAAAACAAGTTGTACATGATATCTTAAATAAATAAAAACCTAAATTTTTACATATTTGTGGATCTAAATTTCCAGTTATTAATAGTGAATAAAATTGGAATGATTATAATAATCTAAGAGTTAGAATAATAGAAAGAGAACTTTAATCAAAAATGAATTAATTGAGAGGTCCAAAAGATTAATTGTAAGATTTCGAGAACTTATCTATATTATCTGGACCACCTATAAATACAAATTATATTACAAATAATCTTAAATCAGATTATTAAGATGTTAAAATTACAAAAATTATGAAATAGCTTACTGCTTTGAAATAGTGAATTAGTGATGAACATTGTTTTGAATGTCAAATTATTTATTATAAATTATAAAGTTAATATCAATCTCAAATGAAAAATAAAAATAAAAGATCAATTACCTATGATTTAATCTAAAACAATAATAAAGATCATAATTTGTTTTATAAAAGAGATATTATGAGAAATAAAAAACCATACAAATTAAAACTTGAATAGAAATCATTTAAAGATTAAATCTCTTCAACTTAATTAGGAGATATAGTGGAAAATTAATATTTCAAAAAATTAGATGACTTAGATAGAGATTCTAAAAAATAACAATAAACTAAAAATAAGACTTCAATTAAACTACCAATTATTTATAAAATTAGATCCAAATCCTCTCAAGTATAATAAACCTATTAATAACCATACTCAAATTCAGATGCTGAAATTATNCATTAGATATGATAAAAAATAGAAAATCTTTTTCAATTGATTTGAGATTTAAAAGAAGAAATTCTGAAAAAAAGAAAACAAATACATATGTAAAATAATTAAAATAAGAAATACCTAAAGTAATTATATAATAATTTTAAGATAGATTTATCATAATTGATTTCTGATTCCTTTAGATAAAATATATCAAGATCTTGTTAATATGAAGATGAATAAGAAGATTAATAAAGAGAATCTTAATTTAATTAAAATAATTTAGAATTAACTTAAATCTAATATCCAACTCCAGATTCTAAAATTGAATAATATAAATCTACTATATAAGATTAAACAGAAAAAGAGCAACTTCCAGATATTTATAAAGATATAAGTATATATATATTTATATATGTTAACTCTTTTAGAAATTAATTAAAATGTCGATTTTGAATAAAGAAAAAAAGTATTAAAAAGAAGAAAACAAGTTGTACATGATATCTTAAATAAATAAAAACCTAAATTTTTACATATTTGTGGATCTAAATTTCCAGTTATTAATAGTGAATAAAATTGGAATGATTATAATAATCTAAGAGTTAGAATAATAGAAAGAGAACTTTAATCAAAAATGAATTAATTGAGAGGTCCAAAAGATTAATTGTAAGATTTCGAGAACTTATCTATATTATCTGGACCACCTATAAATACAAATTATATTACAAATAATCTTAAATCAGATTATTAAGATGTTAAAATTACAAAAATTATGAAATAGCTTACTGCTTTGAAATAGTGAATTAGTGATGAACATTGTTTTGAATGTCAAATTATTTATTATAAATTATAAAGTTAATATCAATCTCAAATGAAAAATAAAAATAAAAGATCAATTACCTATGATTTAATCTAAAACAATAATAAAGATCATAATTTGTTTTATAAAAGAGATATTATGAGAAATAAAAAACCATACAAATTAAAACTTGAATAGAAATCATTTAAAGATTAAATCTCTTCAACTTAATTAGGAGATATAGTGGAAAATTAATATTTCAAAAAATTAGATGACTTAGATAGAGATTCTAAAAAATAACAATAAACTAAAAATAAGACTTCAATTAAACTACCAATTATTTATAAAATTAGATCCAAATCCTCTCAAGTATAATAAACCTATTAATAACCATACTCAAATTCAGATGCTGAAATTATGGACAATATTAAATAAGATAAAATATGTAAATAAATTACTGTAAACATTAGCTATGAGACCTATATTTAAATCTATCAATCAAATCCTAAATAAACACCAAGAAAAAGTAATTTATCCTAAAATTAATACTGAATTTGAAAATGAAAAAATCTCAAACGATCAAAGTATTTTAAAGTAATTTTCTTTATTATTAAGACTTTCATAGTTTTTAAGTGAAAATTAAAACAATATAATAAATATAGGAAAATATGTTTAAGAAAAAATAGAGTAGAAGAGAATCAATAATTTTCGAATATTATATAAAAATGCAATAAAGTATTAAAGTGATGAAGGTAAAGTCATATATATAATAATTTAATAGAAGAAAATGGTTGTAATCTATCTAGTAAAGAATTATAATAAGTTGAACATATTAAAAACAGAAGAAAATTCATTCTAAAAATGGCTTAAAGAAAATCTCCAAAGTTTCTCTATCCCTTAGGCCCAAAAATAAGAGTTCCTAATTTTTCTCTAGAAAACCAATATTTTTAGATTTAATAAAATTTAACTAACAGAGCTTATTAAGGAGGTTAATTCTCTCCAATAAAGAGAAAAACCTATAATTTCGAAGATGACATTTCTATTTAAAAATTAGATAGTCCACCTAAAGATAAATGTTTTCCTACTTCCTCTATGTAAGAGGATTACCTAAATATAAAGATTTAATAAATTGTTAAATCTTTTATATGATTATAATTTATATTAAGTAATTTATTCAAAATTTTAAAATAAAATGGTTTTTTTTTTCATTTTACATTCATAACATTATTCTATTCTTCTAAAATTGATAATATTTGTTAATTTAATATTCTTGTTATTTTTGTATTAAAAATATTGAATTTGAAGAATTTTATATAATACTAATAAATAAATAAATAAATAAAGATCAAAGTTAATCATTTTCCCATCTTCTAGCAAACATAATAGGATCATTATTCTATTTTTGATTTTCTAATAATATTTCTTATATAAGTTGGAAATCTTTTTATAATTTAACATTACTGATTTTTTCCAAGTAATGTATTAACAATTAAGAGAAACTAATAGTAAATTCAGATAAATCTTTATTGAAAAATTATTCAAATTATTTATCAGGTGTAATATAAAATACAAATTCAACTTTTGAATAAAATGATAAAAAGCTATCTATCCAACCTTAGATGATATCTTATTTATTAGATGGACAATACTTCTAAATATAAGTTGCTTTAATTCCTAAGAGTTTTCTGATTAAAAAATAACATTTTTATTTATCTTCTGTATTAATACAATCAAACTACTTAAGAACATTGTTTAAATACACTAAAAATTTATAAGTAGGCCTTATTGATGCAGAAAGTAAGTCTTCTTTATCATCTTAAAAATTTGAATTAAAATCAGTAGTGAATTTTTCTGCTATAATATTTTAAATAGATTTAGTTTATGATGCAAATTGTCTAAATTAAGAAGATTTATTCATTTGGAAATAAAAATTATGTTTATTATCTTAAGTGTTTTTTTATAAACTAATTCCAGATGATTTAAAAGGTTGAGTATTGATATGTTATTGTGATTAAACAACCCTAACAGGTGATTTTTTTTGTTAAATAGAATTATTATTTTAAACTGAATATGATTATTTTTATAAGCTTTATGAACTCTCTATAATGTTTTGTTTTTGTTATAAAATTTACTGACAATTTGAAAATTAATTATTTTTTATAGTATCATTAGTGCTATTTCTATGACTATGTTAAATACAATCACTTTCTTCTCCAGAATAACCATTTATTTTACTATTATTATCAAGATTTTTAATTTAAATTTATGTATTAATAGGTATTTTAATGGCAGTTATTTTTTCTTATTCTTTTTATTGAAAATATTATTATTATTAAAGTATTCCTAGATTCTGAATTTCAAATAAATCAAGTGATTTTTGAGTTTTTAATCTAAGTTCAATAGGTAAATTAGATGATTTAATTGGTGATTATTGTATAGGTTTAGGGATTATTTCTATTTTTTATGTATATGACTCTTTAATTTGTTACTCTTTAAATAAATTAGAATTATTTTAATTGATTTAAAGTTTCAAATCAATAGGCTATTCTTCAAAATTATTATTAATTTTTCTTATATCTAAAAGTTAAGCAATTTAATTTATTTTAATAACTTTTTTAGAATCTAAATTTTAGAATCCCATTATTTCTTATGATTTATACATTTAATATTATTTAAACTAATTTTCAATTAAATCTTCTGGATTACTTTAGAATATTTAATTATTTATTATTTAATCATCTTTTTATTATCTTGATTCTTTTAATTCTTGAGAAATAGAACTAGTTTTAATTGATCTATATGGAATGGATTAATGTGATAGTGTTTATATTTTCTTAGGTTATATTTACAGAGATACAATAATCTAATTAATAGAGATTCGTTTTTCTGGATCAAAATTTAACATATTTAGCATTAATTCTTTTGTTTTAAGAGATGTTAGTGTATCACTTTTGATTTTATTAATCAGAAATGAGTGTTTCTTAGTTAAATCATTTTCTTATTTAGAAAATAAAGGCAATTCATGATATATCATTTAAAATAATACTATTCCTAAAGCCCATATATCTGATTTTTCTGAATATACATTATTTTACACTGTTTCAGGAGCCATGTACATTGGAGTACCTACATTAAATTTCTTTATGATGCTCTCATATTGGTTCTCTATAACTGCAAAACCAAAGTCAGCTAATTTGTAATATCCATTAGATTTCAATATATTAGCTGGTTTGATATCTCTATGTATTATTTCTATTAATTTACCATAAAGGTGTTACTTTTATCATGTAATGCTTTAATTCCTTAAGCAATTTATTAGAACACTTCTAATGCTTATATTTCTGTGAATTATATGGAGTCTAAAATTTCAGCCAAATCACCATCGTTACAATATTCACAAATCAAATATCTATTATTTTTAGTTTCAAATGTATCATAAATCTTCATTAAATTAGGATGATCTATTAAACTCAATACTTGAATTTCATTTTTTAGCAAACTTTTAGATATTGGAGTAATTAATTATTGAAAACTTATTACTTTAATAGCTACTACTTAATTATTTTTTGTATTCATTCCTTTATAAACTTTTGATGAATAGCCTGAACCAATTAAATCATTTTAGTCATAAGTATAATTAGATATAGTTTTCCTGATATTTTAAGAATTATTATTCATTTATTTTAATATAAAATATTTTGGACTTTCAAATTCATTTTCAAATCAAATTTAAGATTTGCAACATTAAGGATTAATTCTAACTTTAAACATTAATTTGAAATATATAGAATAATATTATTATTAGATATTTTAATATCATATTAATTTTATGTATCCAATATTACTCTTATTGTATTTATCAATATCCTTATCTATTATTACCTATTCTTTCTTTCATTACTATTTTCTTTGAATAATAATGTTTTGAATTACTTATTATAAATTTTATATATGATTATAAATCAATTGGTTTTTCATCTTTCTTCTTAATTGGAGAATTTTAAGAAAGAAAATATTAATATTATTAAACTAGATATTTGTAAATATTACATTCAATAATTAATTATATCCCATAATTCCTGTATTATTTATTGATATGAAAATAAGTAAAATTAAGACTTTCTAATTACCTAATAAATTTGTTCATCTTTTATGCTTATGTTTATGATATCCTATTATTAATTCAACATTTAAATTAATATTGTTAATCTTTACTATTGTAGTATATTTATTAAATGTTCTAGAAATAGGAGTGATATTAATAGGGTTGGCATATCTATAAAATAACTCTTTTTCAGAGGGAAGATATTCTTTAGGAATTAAATTGTTGTGCATGGTTCCATGTTACATAATATAATTATAAAAAATAATATTATTATTACTAAGTTATATAAGTTTGGTATTTTTAATTTAAATTCTATTCGGATAAAATATGAATACAATTTAATATGAAGATAAATTCTTATTTGAATGATTTCATTTGAATTTACTCATTAATATAAATTAAATTTAAAATGGAATGGTTTCTGATAATTGTAACGATAGTGATGGCATTATTGTTATTATTTGTGAACTTCTACTTACTAGTTTTATATTGTCATCGTAATTTAATGAAATCTATAATAAATAGCTGAAGATAGTGGTTGGGGTTCATCATTAGTATGCAAAGTATTTGTGATTTTTGGAATGACATTGACTTGGGCTTAAGTTTTGATGTTACCATTAGATGCAGCAAATTCAAGGTAATGAAATTATTAAATTGAATTAGAGGACTTGGAGAAGGCTTGGATATGGATTTTTTTTGGAAATTCATATATATGCTAATTTTGATATTTGGAACACTATTTATACCATTTGCTTAATACTATTATGAATCAGATGATGAGAAGTCTATAAGTTAACGATGTTGTGCAGCTCTTTATTAACAATTATGTTTTGTGATAATTGTAGCACTATTGCTATTTATTTCTTATGCATTTTTAAGATTTGCTGATATTCCAGTCTACATATCAGTGAAATCTTGTTCATAACCAACTCTTTTCTTAGATTCTGAAACACCATTTACAGGTGTAGCAAATTCTTTATAGGAGGATTCTGAAGACACTTTAGAATATGAAGTTAGTTTTCCTGTTTATGTGATGGCATTTATGTCTTTATTTGGATATTGTTTATTTGTGCTATTTGGTGGAGTTGGTTTAACAGCTTTACCAGTAGATTTAATATAAGAATTTATTCATAGACCTAAGAAATTGACATCTGCTGAAGGAGCATAAAAGAAAGGTAGTTTAAAGAGGAAAGCCTTTGAATTGATTGAAGAAGGCAATAAAGTTAGAGATGATTAAAAAGATGCTGTTGTTTAAGATGGTTGGTGGGCTAGATATAGAGAGAAAAGAAGAGTGAGAACACAATTTACAAAATATAAGAATGCTGTTTTAAGTTTAGATAGAGATTATGAAATATTTAAACTAGAACTTAAGTATTATGATACTAATCCTATAGTTTGGTATTTTAAATTAGTTATTGGAGTGATATTCTGTGTAATTTCTTTTATATGGTGGTTGCACATGTATTATTTAATTTATATTAATAGATTATTATTTATAGTAATAAGAGATGCAGATGGAATATCAGCAAGTTCTTTTCTTAATAAAATATTGATTGGTTTAGAAGATGGAAATGCTGGATTTTTATGTGTTGGTATATTTGGATTCCTTTGTATATATTTATTATGGTGTACATAAAAGGGTAACATTAAATTTGGTCTCAGAATTCCTTTTCTGTTCTCTTTACATATAATGAAGTATCATATTATTTTATAATTATAGAGTAAATGAGACTTGGATGAATACTTTTCTTTTTAATGTATAACTTATGTTAATCTGTTCAGTTGCAGTTACATAATTTTGTACCAAAGCCTTTTCCTAATATATTAGATTAAGCACTCTCAATAGTAATTATTTATCTTATAGTAGTGTTATTTAGTACTCAAATATAATACTTACGTTTCTTTACTTATTTATATTCAAACAATGTCTTTGAAATCATTCTACTAGTTTGGTCAGTTTTAACAATGATATATTTGCTTATCAGAAGATCAGACAAACCTAAAATGCTTAAGGAAATCGAAGAAATGTAAAAACAATAATTCAAATGAACTTAATAATAATTATTAATGTTTTTACTTATATTTATTTCAAAAGTATATGGATCTTGCATTTCTAGTATAGGAAATTTAATGGCAGATACATTGACAGATCCAAAACTTGAATTAACTAAATTAGCACCTTATATCTATTTTAGTGGTAAAGGGTATAATAACTTTTTATTTATTTTTAGGATCAATGATTTTGGATTCTATGAAGATTGTACAAATTAATACTAATATGCTGTCATTCAATTCTTTGTTCCTTCAACTCCAGCCTCTGTCAATGTTGGAATTTGTTTTACTAAACAATGTTCCATTTCAGACATCAATTCTTCAATTTAAACATTAAAAAAATGGATCTTGGCAGTTGCCTAAGATATATCATAGGTCTTGATTTGAAGTTATATTTCAGGTTGATCTAACTGAGTATGAACTCAAATTTCTGGATTCACAAGTTATTGCATAGCCTTAAATTACTACTTATATATTAATTTCATTTTTAATAGCATTCATTATGTTGTAAGTATACTTTACATATTTTCATAAATAAGATCCAAAGATTCTTAAGTAATAACTTTAATTAGAATAATTATAGTAATAAAGAGATATATAAGAGGTAAGCACTTATTTTGATGAAGAAGAATAATTAATTAATAATCTTAATTAAAATAAATATAATTAGAGAGGTATAAAATTGAATGAATTTTATGAACTTTATATAAACTTGGACTTAAAAATTAATTATTAAGAATGTTGTAAACCATAAGAATCTAAATATTCTTCATTAAATGGAATACGTGTATTAGGATTTTTAATGTGTGTTTTTGGAAATACAGGAATCTCAATGCTATTATAATGTGATTTTTATTAAGTTCAACATTATAGCAAACATTACATCTTATTAATAGTCTTTGGATGTCTCTATTCTGTAGAAATATTTTTGTGGCTTTCTGGATTTTTTGCTGTATTTTCATTTATTAAATTGAATTGTCTATATAATTTACTTTTAAGAATATGTAAATTATGGCCTTTAATGGTTTTGATCATTTTAATAAATACACAAATAATACCATATTTAGGAGATGGTCCAAGATGGTTTTATATAGAAAGATATACCAAATGTGGAAAATGGTGGTAAAACATTTTATTTATTAATAATTTTGATGATGAAAATTATTGTACATTATGGTTATGGTAATTATCACTTGATATTCAGTTAACAATCATATGTGCCATAATCATAGTATTATATAAAAGAAATAAAAATGCTGCAATAATATTGACAACTATTCTTCTATTAGTATCATAGTCATATGTTATATATACTTGTTTAGATAAATAATATGGTATTCCATATTATGCTGCATTCACTACTGATATCTATAAATCATTTTATTATAGACCTTGGTTTAGAGCACCACCTTATTTTATAGGAATGTTAACTGCTTTTTTTGTAATCAATTTTAAAAGAAAATTGAAACTTTGGTTTTAAAATACAATATAAATTATTGGTTTTTTAATAATTGTTTATTTAACAGTAGGATGGTATGATACTATGTAATTTGGTGAAGACTTTTATCCAAAATTGTATTCTCAAATTTATGAAGGTGTAATGAGAACTATTTATGCTATAGGTATTACTTTGTTTGTATTACCAAATTTATTAGGAAATCATAATATTATATATTAATTATTAAATTATACTCCAATCAAATATATAGTAAAATTTACATTTGTTGGATATCTATTACATATGTTGATTGTTGAAGTTATTATAGCATCATTTTATAAAAGTTTGGATTTCAATGTATAAAGTATTGGATAAGTATATGTTGGATGCATTATTATTATTGCTGGTTTTAGTTTTATATTTAGATGGTTAATTGAATTACCATTTGAAATTAAACATAAAATTACAGAAAAGTCTTAATCTAAATAATATATGTAGAAAAAGAATGTTGATTTGATTTGATTTAATGACATTAATATTATTTTGTATAGAATTTATAATTAATTAATTTTATATAGTATTTTCATTTTACAAAATAGTTATCAAACTTCATATAATCATGTTCAAAACAATTATGAAGACTGTAAAATAAGAAAAAACCAAATCTTCATTATCTGAATAATAGGATATTACTTAGATACCAAAAATTGAAGAAAAATAATTTAATATCAATTTCAATAGATAAATTTTTGAATATTTACCTTATTAAATCCCTAATTCAATTGATGCTATATTTTATTTTAAAGAAATACTAACACAACAATAATAGGAATATTTAATGAAAGAAATATATAATTAACCTAAAAGATGGGTTGATTTACCTCATTCAAATAGAAGAGTTTAGAAATATGGTGGAGATGTTAAAGAGGAAGGTCTAATCAATGTAGAAAAATTTCCAGAATTTTTAACTTAATTATCAGTATTGATTAATTTTAGATTATTAGAATTTATGCTTTTTAGATGATAATACTTTAAATATTAATCATGCCTTAATTAATGAATATGCTCCAGGTATTGGTATCCATCCTCATTTTGATGGCCCTCTATATCATAATTTTGTTAATATCTTTAGTATCAATAGCACTTGCATTTTTAAATTTAAAAAACAAGATGAATCCCTTAAACTTTTTGTAGAACCAGGCAGTCTATTAATTTTTACTAAACAAGCATATACTGAATGGTTACATGGAATAGATTATCATCATGATGATACAATTTTATTGAATATAAAAGAGAATTAAGTATGTCATACAGATTTGATTAATTTCCATCAAACATTATTTTATCAAAACTTATAAAAAGCTGAAAATATAATTGAATATTTGAATAATTAACCTAATTATGAATTATGTCAAATTTAAAATAATAATTAATACACTCATTCATTGATTATAAGAAGATTGCTAAGAGTATCAATTACTTTAAGACATGTACCTTATAATAGGAAATGAATAGAATTAATATATATTGGATTTATTATATCATTAATTATTAGTTATATATATATTTTTTAATTAATATTCTACTTAAAATTTATCTTTAATTTTTTAAATTATTGTTCTGAAATTATTTAATAAGTTTAATTCTTTTACTTTATTAGATATATTTAACATATTAATTTTGCTTATTCTATCTTTAAAAATAAGATGATTACATTATTAATTAATACAATAATAAATTTTAATAAATTGAGTTCCCAAAATTGTAGTATTTAGTTTATATAAATATATATATATATCAAATTATAAATAAATTTAAAGAGAGATTAATTTAATAGTTATATTTATTTTGTATTATTTTGTGACAAAACTTATATTTTTTATCAATAATATTATTTAATCAGTAATACCATCCTCCTTATCTAAATTAAGATGGTCCTTATTGCATTTAAGAGTAAGGATATCTGGGATCCACTTAATAGTCATCAAATTTTTGATCATACAGTGGTGGTGGAAACTATCTAAAATTATAAATAATTAATTTTACGTATTATATTAAGGTATAGTTTAAGCATTTGGTTATGGTTTAAATTATGCTGGTTGTTGTGTTTAGTTAAATGAATAGATTAAGACATGCCAACCATTTAACTTATAATTTCAATAGTTATTACTTTGAATTCAAATACTTTGTCATCATTATTATAGTAACTGTATTAAGCATTCAAACCATTTTTATGTTCCCACATAAATACAAACCAATAAGGTCCATATTTGCCATCTAATCTATGCTTGACAAAATCAGCTGGATTCTTATATTCTTATTATGTCCTACTACTTTTATAAAATTCCAAAATGTCAATTCTTAAAGCCTCATGTATTCCATAACCTTATTTGATTATCTAATTTAATATAATTAAATACTTCTAAATTTTCATTATCATCTTCATCAAAGCTTTTAGCTTTTTTAATGCGAGGTTATTGTATAGCTTAATATTCTTATTGATAATATTGTTATTGTTGATTCATTAATTAATGTAATAATAATAACAAAGAAATTCACTTGTTTAAGAACTGCTGAAATCTATCAATTAAGTAATAAAGACTATATTATATTCAATAGTAAAATCAATCACTTACAAATTAAAATAAGGTTTTACATGAATTTTAATGGTTTGAATTAGATAATTAAATAAGGATTCGTGTACATGAATTAATGGAACCCCATCTTAAACTATTTCTTGAATAAAGATTCGAATATGATACGTATATACTAAATATCAAAATATTAGGTTAACTGTTAAATTGGAAAAATATATCTAAAATTATGAAGAATTTAAGTCTCTTTATTTTTAAAATGGAAAAAGTCAATCAATTATTCAATAACTTAAACAATAAATGAATGATTTAGAATCTCAAATATAATAATTATAACAAACAGAATAATTTACTATAATTGAGATTAATAAGAAATTTGATTTATTATAAATTTCTAAAGATCAACATATTCAATAATTTATACTTTTAGAGAATAATCAAAGTTAATCTCTTTAATCAATAGAAAATATTAGATAGTAAAATTAACAATTTAAATAACTTTTATTAGATAACTTAGAATAAGTTAAATTATAAAATAATATAGCTGTTAATAATGTATAAGATAAGTTATTAGAATTGAATCTTCGAATAGATAATTAATACAGTTATTAAAAAGATTTAACATTAAAAAATGATAAAATTTTTGAAGAATTGAGTACTTTGAATAATAAAATAATTTAATAGACTTCATAGATTAATTAAGATTAAAAAAATATTGAATTACTATAATAAATAGTTCCAAAATTTGATGAATTGTTAATATAAGATAGATAACTTATAAATTAAGTATAATTAATGAAAAACAAATAATCATATTTTGAAAATTATATAGAAAAATATTTTCCTTTATTTTTATAAGGAACTATTTCTTAAACTTTACATAATTGTTTAGATGAAAATAATCTCTATAAATTAGCTAAATTTGAAGATGAGAAATTTACTCTACTAAATTCTATCATTATCAATGACTAAGGTACTCCTAATTTAGATAAAAAAATAAATGAATATACTGCATTTATTGAAACATAACTCAAAAAAAACTATTAAATCCTTAAAAACAATGTTAATAAATAATCGATTTAAAAAAATGAATAAATTAAAGAAACCAAAAATATTTAACTTTAAGCAAAAAACAATTAAGATATTTCAGATAAATAGAATTTATTAGAAAAAAATGAAATGGAATATTTTATACAACAAAGATTAAATGAATTCAAAAAATAAATTGATAAAAGTTTAAATCATTTATAAACAACAGTTGATAAATTAGAATAAACTTATGATCTCTTACATGAAAAAATTGTTTCTCAAATTGAATTTATTAAGAATCAGTATAATGAATAGATTATCTAAATTTAATAATAATTATAAGAATTAAATGAATAATTTAGTACTGTTCCTTTATTCATTAGTGAAATTAATGAAATATAATAATAGTAATAAATGAATATTAAAAAATTGAATAAATTTTAAATCTTATATAATGATTAAAGATTATCATTAGAATAATGTTAAGATATTTTGAATGAATCAATAGATTAACTAAAAAATGAAAATGATTCTATTTGTTAAGAATCTCCAATAAAAAAACTTTAATCATAATTGAACGCTGATGAAAGAAAAAGTGTTCGTACAAAGACAGCTTCATAAAGTGGAATGCGTAAAAGTATAAAAAGCATGTATAGTTCAAGTTAGACAAGATCAACAAATGATAAAAGAAAGTTTTATTTATTAGGTTCTAAACTATAATAGGAAGTTTGTTAAAGTATGAATCTTTCAATTCTACAACCAAGAAAAACAAATTCAAGAATACTATTTTAAAGTAAAGCTTTTGCAAAAGATTGAAATAAAAGTATATAAATTTATTGATACTAATAATAAGTTTAATAATAAATTAAAATAACTTTAATTTCATTAATTAATCTTAATCTATTAATTTTACAAAACAACTAATTTCTTCAATATAGAAAATTGAAATAAGCAATTCTCTTAAATTACTTTAAAATGAATGATGGCATTTTATAATATGTTTGAATTTTCATTCTTCAAATTAATTTATTTAATTTTAGTTCAAATTCCATCAAATAATTTATATCTCCCATATATAGATATATTCTAGAGTAGAACAAATCTTTTAATTAAAATAATTGATTTTACTTATCTTAATTCATAGATTAAATTTAAACTTTATTTTCTGTAATTTCTTAAGCCATTTTTTGAATATCATTTAAAGTATTCAACTTTGAAGGCAAAAAATATTAAGAAATGAATAACTTAATATTAAGTGTTCTTAGAATTTATAGACATAATAGATTTCTTAATTTTATTTTATATTTATTTTAAATTTGGATAAATTTGAAGTAATCTTTGTTCAATAATAAAATTTTATTAAGTAAATAATTTAGTCAAAATTCTGTTTATGCAACAAAAATTTTTAGTTCAAATATAATTATTATAAATATTAATATGATAACAGATGAACCAACTGTTGAAATAACAAAAGATGTCTTGTAAGGATTGAAGATATAAAAAGTATATAAAGACTTTGTAATAAAATTAACTAATTAAAGTTAAAAGAAATCAATTCAATAGATTTTTCATAAAATGGATAATATTTGGTTGCTTGTGATGATCAAGTAGTTAATGTTTTTGATATTGCTAATATGAAGTATAATATATAAAGAATGAAAATATAGAAAGATAAGAACAATGTATAATAATACTTAGGAGATTGATATGGTGAAATTTACAAAAGATTAAACTCATATAATTTGTGTTACAAAAAATGAACCATGTAAATAATTTAATATATTTAAGATGAGATCTGGCATTGGGCATTTGAAGAAAATCAAATTTTAAAGAAATTCTCTGGACACACAAAAATGTAATTGAAGTAAAATTATTAGTAAGAATTTATTAACTAGAAATATATAATTAAATAATTCTAAGTTGTAGTTTTGATGATACTTTAAGATTATGGGAATTAAATTAATAATAAGACACATGTTATGCAGTATTAGATTTAAGTTCTAAACCTGATAATAGAGTAATAGGAGCTTTTGATTATAGTGGAAATTCTTTTGGTATGAGTTTTGTAGAAAAAGAAAATGGTTAATCAATAAATTGTGTTTAGTTATATTAAATTAGAAAATTTGAATTAGGACCATATTAAGTTAAAAAGATATCAGGAACAACTGTAATACAATTAAAATTTAGTGCTGATAATCAATTTATATTATGTGTTTGTTCAGATGGTCAAATATAAATTTTAGATAGTTATTTATTAAATACAGTAATTGATTAAAATAGATTAATAGTTATTTGATATTCCAGGAAATGCAGATAGAATTAATGTTAATGTTTGTTTTACTCCAGATTCTAAATTCTTAATTACTGGTAGTAATAGTGGATACTTATATGTCATATCAATATAGAATGCAATAAAAACATAAACTTAAGCAGGTTAATTGATTGCTAAACTAGAAGGACATTAAAGAAAATGTAAATTAGTATTATTCAATCCAAAATATTGTTGTTTAATTAGTACTTGTAGAAATCTTGTTGTTTGGACTCCAAATCAAATATTATGATTTATATAAAATAATTAGATAATTTTAATGTATTAGGATAATTCTGAGGTATATAATCAGAAATCATGATAGCATTATGAGTTCATTAATAGTAATCTTGTGATTGAAGAAATTCCAGAGGAAATTGAAAATGACAAAGTTATAATCTAAGAAACAGCTGATGAAAATAAAATCAAGGTGATTCTTGTAATGTATAATCACAACTACAAACTTAGGTAAATAATCAAAAACTCAAACAAGAGTTCTTAATTGCTGATAACTTTTCAGCATTTACTCAAGTTCTCATAATTTCTACAATCAATCATAATTGTTATTATGATGATCCATTCTTTCATTACATCCTTATGATGACTAAGGTTATTCGTAAAGCACTTAGAAGAATGTTGGTACCCACCTGCATTAAAACTAAAGAAGAGTTTATTGTATTGTTAATCTAATTTAGAGATTAAACAAAATAATTTATTTCAATGTTTTTACCAAGATATAAACATAGGATTTATAACATCTACTGGATAAATCAAATCTACTGCATTCATCTATGTCCATAAAACTATAAGAGAATATTTAATAAAGAAAATTTGTATAGATTAAAAACAAGAAAGAGTTAGATTTCTAATGCATTTTTTTAAAATTGAAAATATAATAAAGATACCTTATGTGCATTAAGATTATAAAAACTAATTCTTGAAAACTAATAAATTTAAAAATGAATTCATAATTTTAAATGAAGAAATAGAAACTCATCAATCTTTATTTTAAGTTTATAAATTGGTTGATGATCAAATATATTATGTAAAAAGAGTAATTAAATCATATTATATAAATAGATTCATTTAAGAGTTAATTTCAATTCTTCATTTATGAATGTATTCAATACTAAAGATGTTTATATTAATATAGCTAAGATTTTAGCTTCCCTTTCACATCCTAATGTTATTAGATTATATGATTGGTGGATTGAAATGTTGAATTTCTAACCTTATTTATTTATGCAGATTGAATATTGCATATATCCTAGATATATATCTTAAGCTAAAAATTTATTAAGTTATTCTTATTTTTATATGAATCCTATGCCACATAAATAAAAATAGAAACATATTCAAGATATTATTTTATAAATAATTTAAGCTTTGGAATTTCTAAAATTAAGAAAGATTCATCTAATTGACTTAAAACCTGAAAATATCATGGTGACTATAACAGTCACTGGTGATTTATAAGTAATCATTATTATTTCATTATAGATTGTACTTGCAGACTTTAATCCTTAAATAACTAATTAATAATAATAATGTTATTTAGATTATACATTTTAATCTATAGGTACATTAATTTTGA